GGCTGCCGGCTGGGGGATGCTGGCGTTGGAGAAGCCCTCGGGAGGTGTTTTCGAAATAGGTGTTCTCACAACTGATGGTTCATACCAAGAAATCCGGGAAGAAGACGCTAACCGCAAGAGGAACTGCGTGAGGCAGAAGGTCGGATGAGGCTTCTCACCCTGCTCCCTCCCTGCCGGGCTCTGGACGTGATCTGGCCTCGTTATCGTAGGGCGCTGCACAGGTCGTGGCCCCATCGTGGTGGCTTTCACACCAGTACGCGGCAAGAGGAGTGCCTGCCAAGAAGGACACAAACTGAGAAGACAGACAGGGCAAGATGTAAACCACCAGCAAACCCGCACACAAATGTCTGCTGTTACTACTAGTCGGCTCCAATTTGAGCTTTCTTCACTTTTCACGTGGAAACATGTGACTTCTTATACCAAACACGGTAATTTATCTGACCCATATTCTCGCTTACGGCAAAGACTGACATTTGTTTGAAAGGTTTTAAAAAGACGCAATGCTAAACCAACCGTTAGTGTTTTTGGGGCATGGATCTTCTTTTCAGCTGCACAGATTGACTGCTGGGCTGTTCACTGAGTGAGCGTGAAGGCTGCTGTAACGTGAACGCATGGCAACGAAATGCACACTATGGACTCGGGAGCAATTAGTCCCATCCCTAACACGACCATCGGGTTGCTCTGTGGTCCTGCCTAAGTCACTCATGCCAAGTGTCCCCCAGTGTAAAATGTAAATGTGACACCTATTTACCCTATAACACCTTCAGAGTTGTGATTATCTTGCTAACGCTTTTAGTACAGGACACCAACCACGTCGGCTCTCAGTACTCTGCCACAAAAGTAATACTGAGCGACAGCAAAGGACCAAAAGAAAGTGAAGAAAGAGAACGGGATAATAACTTTGAGTCTTGAGGTTTAAGAGGCATTGCCTCCCCATCCTCAGCTTTTTTACACAGAGGACATCAGCAATTCCTATTTCTGTTGCTGTATTACTCTTCCACTCTGCAGTGGTATCTCCAGTGTCAGCTAGAGTTTCTAATACCCCCCCCCCCCCCCAACTAAACTTAAGACTGTAAGTGGAAAAAAGTCTCTGAACCCACTGGGGGAATGATCACTGTGATTTTAGAAATTATGTCTTCAATATAGATCTCTATAATAGCAGAAATTATTACGATAATGAGGATAATAATTGTTACGGGCATTCAGGGATTATTATAGCTTCAGAAAGAGTTATTAAAATAATTTGCTGAACTAGCTTAGGGAAGGAACTCTATTCCACCAAACCCCATCTCAATATTTTCATTAAATGGGGACTACCAGCTGGCAATCCAGTCAATTTGAGAAAAATCAAGTTTAAAAAAAACACCCTGGAGTGCTGTTACTGTCCTTTAAATTGTTCACAATGTTCCATTTTGCTTATTGTTTTGCAATTATGTTCTCATCACATTTCCTTTCATTAAGAAAAGATCTTATGCTGCTGCGGTGAAGATCCACTGAAGCAATGGAAAAAATGAAGTTCTACCTTTGAGACATTTTGTAAGTTTGAAAAGCAGTGCATCCAAAAATCAGAATTATCCAAGATCACTTACAAGCAAAGAGTCGGTTACTGCAGAACAGAATCTTGATGCTGCACCCGGAGACTGGCATTCATTTTCACCTTCTTTACCCCACTCCTCCAAATCTGTTGCTTCTTCCTACAGTTTTACTGGCCCACATCACCTCTTATGTTAGTTATTACAACCTCCTCACAAACACTACCTTGAGGCCATTCAACGTACAGCCCGAGAACTTACATTCCTCAACTCTTATTTTAATCAGACCACTCCTGATCTTGGCCTCAACTCCTTTCCCGTTTTTCCACAGGCTTCATGCCTTCTCCTGAACCACAGGTTGTGATCAACTCCAAGGTCCTATAAAACTTCCTTTTGGCTGATTTATTATCTTGCCAGATCATCCTCTCTCCAGTTTTACCTACTTTTTCACTTTGTGTGCTTCTCCATAGAGGTCTTAGTTTGCTCTTACAGCGTTCCCTATGTTATATCTTTTTTCTGGGTAGATCCAAAAAGTATCTGCCCTCTTTTTATTTAAGTTTTGCCTGGAAATTACACTTTTTATGAGGCTTATGAAAAGCCAAATACATCAATTTATCTTATAATTTATTCTTAGTTGACTGAACTGCATGCATACATGAAGTCTAGTGTTGGACCACTGAAATGTAAGCAGAATACAATGACCAGAAGAATGGAAAGCGGAAGGAAGAGGAAAGAAGAAAAATGCAGTATATTCCAGTTATTAATAATGTGATCTCCTGATGCCTTGTCTGTATGTTACATACTTTTTTGTCAGTCTTTGCCTTTCTCTCTCTGTTTACACTCTTTGGGAGATGGACTTTATCTTCCTCCGTGTTTAGAAAACACTTGACATTTCAATTTCTATTGCTGTCCTCCTGATAATCTTCATGCTGTCCTTTTCCAGTAGCAAGGACACACATAGGAGAGCAGTCTTCAGGATCATACAGTTGAAGGACATCCTGGAGCCTGTAATACCTCCTTGATACAGACACCAACTTAAACCCCTGTTGGAGTCAGAGATAACTCTGCGTACTGAAGTCACAGGGAGACTGAAAGCCTATTCAGTCCTATTTCAGTACCAAAGCACTGATTTAAATATGCTTTGGGTTTGTCTGTTAGTTTCATCTACAGGAAAATTTAGTGCACATCTTCAGAACTGCTGTGTTAAGCAGAACAACAAGGACTGCCTCATTAGAAATAATCTGTAGAACAAAGGAAAGTCTTGAAAATCTGTCACATTGTGTTCTGTTTTCAATATTGGACTATTATAAGGCATAGAATGCATAAGCTACCAGTGTTGGGATTAAGAGATCAGCTGTGATAAATTCAATTAATGTGTAAAAAGTCTGTAAAATACTTGAACAACTAATAAAAATAGTAATTACATTAAGATATTAACTTATAATGTTCTTTATAAAGATGAAATGTAAGGTATTTTACTGTCTTGAAATCTCGATAAAGATATTTTATAGCAAACGTATTTGGTGCATGATTGCTGCTGAAGAATCCTGTAACAGAGCTGCGATAATCTAAATGGTACCTCAATGGGACCAGTCCCTCAGCTGTTTCTGAGATAATTGATTCCCAGCTCCCTGTGGCTATTATAAGAGTGATCATTAAAATAGTATTAGAATTTCTGTTCCCACAAAGATTTCTATATATTCCTTCTATATATAAACTGGGAGGAAGGCTGCCTCAGTAAATGAAGAGCCCACAGTGCCACCTTCTTATAAAGTACAGAACTCTTGGTGCTGAATGCAAAACCACCTAAATATTAGCATTATTAAAGCTGACACAGTCCTTGCATTTTCAGAATATTGATGTCATTGAAATACCACCAGTCATTTTTGCAAGCTTAGATTCACCTTACCTTTCATCAGCCACCTAAAAGTTTGGCCTCTCGTATAAGCTCTTGATCTAAGCTCCTTCTGTAGCCAAGAGAAAGACAAGCATGTCCAGATGGTAACTCATCCTTCCAAAGACAGACACTTCTAAAGAGCGAGCCTATCCCTAGCCCTTAGTTTGAACAAATTCAACTGAGAAGAATTCCAGCTTTCATGTTTAAGTTGACAGAAGAAATCTATGTCTCTGCCTACACTGCAAATGTGACAGTATCTCTCAGTATCTTAGTGACAGTTAGGGGGTGTCCTGGTTTCAGCTGGGATGTAGTTAACTGTCTTCCTAGTAGCTGGTACAGTGCTATGTTTTGAGTTCAGTATGTGAAGAATGTTGATAACACTGATGTTTTCAGTTGTTGCTCAGTAGTGTTTAGACTACAGTCAAGGATTTTTCAGCTTCTCATGCCCAGCCAACAAGAAGGCTGGAGGGGCACAAGAAGTTGGGAGGCGACACAGCCAGGGCAGCTGATCCAAACTGGCCAAAGGGGTATTCCATACCATGTGACATCATGCCCAGTATATAAACTGGGAGGAGTTGGCCTGGGGGGATTGCTGCACCGGTACTAACTGGGCGACTAACTGGGCATCGGTCGGTGGGTGGTGAGCAATTGCATTGTGCATCACTTGTACATTCCAATCCTTTTATTATTATTATTGTCATTTAAATATTGTTATCATTATCCTTATTAGTTTCTTCTTTTCTGTTCTACTAAACTGTTCTTATCTCAACCCACGAGTTTTACTTTTTTTCCCGATTCTCTCCCCCATCCCACTGGGTGTGGGGGGGAGTGAGCGAGTGGCTGCGTGGTGCTTAGCTGCTGGCTGGGGTTAAGCCACGACAACATCTTTCACCGTACTTATGCTGCTGAGAAATTTCAATCCCACATGTAGCTGATAATAGGAGAAGACTCAAAACACATAACCACAGAATGCAGCTGAATGCAGATGATAACAAATAAACCCATGTGAACGACACTTGCAAATGTGTCATAAATTCAGCTACAAAAAAATTAAGTTAAAATTTTACTAGAGGTACTTAGGTTTTTCATTTTATGCTTTGTATTACTTGTCATAAGGTTTGAAAAAGCTAAATGATTTAATCCTTTTCTATTTAAAATGAGCATTGATTTTTTTCCCGTGTTTTGAAAAGAGCCAAAACCAATGCAAATGTTTTTATCTAGGAGGCTGTAATGGCACAATTGAAAAGCAAGGCTCCTGTCAGATTGCATCTCAAAACTGTGGCATTGCTTTGTTGAAAACAAAGCAGAGAAGGTATTGTTATAGTTTCACCTCCAACTGTTGCTGTATTATTCACGGACAAGTTAGAGGCTTCTGCCAAGATCTCTTCTAATCCTTCAAATGGTTCTGTCTGGACCATCATCTTGCACGTGTACTTTGAAGTTCTTTGTTGCTCTTGTGGAATGTTTATACTTGATGTTTTAGACATGTTTTAACATATGCGTTACCTGATTACAAGTCAGTTCTGCTCCAGGTACATTTCAAAGGGATTGCTGCTAGCCACATTTAACCCCACCTGGCTGAGATGAACTAGCACTAAACTTCAAATGGTATCTTTGGATCTACTTGCTTGACTACCTGTTCCACTGGTGAAAACAGTAAGTTGATTTTTCTTTTGTCTAAGGGAACAAGACTTAGGCATTCATGCACTGCCTATCTGTCTTAGGTCCCCCAATAACTTTTGAAATGTTGACCAAGTTTAATCAAATTTACTTAGTGTAATATGTCTCAACATACTACATTTCTGTACATCTTGTGAAAGAAAGGCAATTGAGCAGTGGCGAGGAAAAGGCTCAAAAATGAGTTCAACTCGTATTAGAGATTGCACACAGGAACTCAGTCTCAAGAAGCCTTCAGGAAATGGCTTCTCTTGTCATTTGTTACCTGTGGTACTCTTACCTCTCCAGTTCTAGTATCTAAGCCATTCACAGTTCAGCTCAAAGTAGGAAAGTAATATTGCTACTGATTCAGCTGATGGGGAATTGAGGCACAATATGATTAAAATTCAGACTTTCAAAGCTATTAATGCACCTCTCAATTGAAATCTTATGGCCTGCATTTACAGTAATTTGCCCAAGGTCATACAAGAAGCGGGCAGTAGACCTGGGAATTGAATCCAAGCTTGCACCTTGCTCTTTGGACCATACTTCCCAAAAGATGTAGTAATTTCAGAATCACACTCTGCCCAGCCCCCTCTTTGGCTGGATACCAGTCTGCTGTGAATAAACACATCCTTTGGTCCTCACAGTGTGGATGTCAAAGCTGGCTACTATTATGGCTCTGCCTCTCAGGCATGCTGTCACAGTACAGACCCTACACATGACTCCTTTTCAGAGCTGTGGGACCACACAGCATGAAGGCCACCTGAGCACCTAGAACCTTCCAAGTGTAGCGGAAATTCTACTGTTGAAGGGGCAATACTTTCTAAAAGCAAGGTACACCTGGGTAGCTAAAGAATTTTTCAAAACAACCGAGAGCTACTTATCCTTGGAAAAATAAAAATGTCCTGAACTTCAATTAATTCCATCTGATCTCATCCTACTGTGACTTGGTTAATTACCTGTAGATAATTTCTTCTGGATTTCCACATTCAATCTTTTTTCACATAGCATTGCCTGGCTCTGTGGCACCTTCCAAGTATCTTTTAATTAGGATTGTCTAATACAAGTAAGAATGCTCTAATCTACAAAAAAAGAGATAACGAACATTAGAAAGATCACTGTTAAGAATGAAAATAAATTCCTGAAACACCATGGAGTTCATAGTTTGACAACAAACCTATTTCCAGTCTGTTACACTCAGAATTTCACAGTAATGAGAACTCTGGAGAATGTCAGATGAATCCTCCACAACATCCATCCAGTGCTATTTCTACAAAAATTGTAATTTCTTATTTCAAACACATACTTTTCCAAATGACAGGCTCTAGACCACAAGTAAGGCACATTTTGGAGCAGGCTGATATATCTGTTCTGGTTTGAAGAAGCATACTTGCTCACCTTTGACGGCTTTCTTAGCTAACACCTACTAAGTAGAACAGAAGATAACTGAAGATTTTAATTTCCTTACTGAAAATTTCAGACACAAAACAACAACCTCACCAAATAGATCACAACCTCACAAAACTCTTTCTTACATCTTACTACAGTTAACTCCACCTGCTCTTGAACATTCTTCCCCTCTTTTTGTATAGATGGAGTTTGAGCTGATAGAAAAAGAGCATACAGAGATTGGGTACAGAATATGAAGAACACATTGCAGACTGGAGAAATTATATGTGAACCTGGAGAATATAAAATCCAAATGACATGACGGGGAATTTGAGACTGTAACTGATAAGCAGCTAGATAACAAAGCAACAAGCATTATACTAGATGATTTATCAAGGTTCACCAAGACACCCCTGATACTGTACAGAGGGAAGATGCAGATTAGACGTGGAAATACACAATATTTTCAGGATATACGGTATGAACAGAACACAGTGCTGCAAATATATGGAACTTGAGAATGTACTTAGCATATGGATAAAATAATAAACCAATTAAAGACTGAATGATAAACATGTGACAGAAATTGTTACTAATGGAGGAACACAAGATAAAATGTATGTAAAGGGGAATGCTGGCTTGGATTCCCTGGCTTCAGCTGGCTGACAAGTTTAACCACTGAGTGCTGTTCTGCCATCAGTAACAGTGAACACTGCTCCCACTATGCTATTCGAAAGAAAAGGGTTGAGCAAAATAAGTGGATAAGTAGTTTTTGTATCAATACAACACTGATAAATCTCAGCAAAAGCACCCCAGGAGAAACAATTAATATTTTTGTTCCAAGTTTGAAAAATATGGAGTAGAAAGATTTGAGGGCCATGGTTTCAAGGAAAGATTCAAAATATCAACTAGCTACTCAAAAAAAAGGGCATTGTCTGCTCTGTGCCCTGAAGAACCTGCACACTGGTCAGCATTCATCCCTCTACTCACTTGTGAAATTCTGGGCTGAGATGACAGAATCCACCCAAAGATCTTAAAACTGCACAGCAAGATGAATAGTGTATTGTCATGGTATTATAGTTAGTGAACACAAGCTATGAAATTGATAAAGGGGAAAATGCATTCCCTAAGGTCCCAAAGTTAGCCAATGTTCTTGCATTACATCTTCCGGGCATTTTCAAAAAAATAACTAATTACTGTTCACGGTACCCAGCAGGCAGAATCAAGCTGCATATAGCATTTGCAGTAAAAACCTGAGGCCATGCAAAATTTGTCTCATTTGATGTTTCAGTTTAAACTCAAACCAATCCAAATACATGGACATTTTGAGTGAATCTGAATCTTTATCATGTATTGAAACATATGAAACTAATGTTGTGTGAAACCCAGTGGAAATGTGTAAGGTTTATTGAGTTTTGCTTTGTTTAAATCCAAATGCTAGCAGAAAGCTAGGAGAGGAATGTGCCGTGTTTATCAGGTATTAACCAGAAGAGGAATGCTAGCAGAGGCCATTGTGAAACATGAGTTTCGTACCAGGTGAGGTAAAATACTTAAGACCCTCAAGTAATGAAGAATGACTACAGGTTATTAAGAACTGCACGAAACAAAATTATTCTTGTTACCTCCGTTGTGGAGATTGCACATACACACGTGTTGATGGCAGATGTGTGGAATGTCTTTGGCTGCCTTCACCTAGAGGAAAAATCCCTCTCTCCAATTCTAGTGAATGGCAGGATTGGTGGATTATGAAGTGTTTCATATAAATGCTTCATAAGAGAGGTTTATAAATCTCAATGGAGAAGTCAGTCCAACTACCATCTTCACCTAGCAGCTCGTATTTCTTCAGAACAAAGCCTGAAAGTGGAAGGAAAATGTGCTCTTCAGGCCCCGTATCACCAGGGGGAAATGATCTTTCAGGTTTGCAGCCAGATTTTATTTCTCTAGAGGGAAGGGGCAACCCAGAACCGCAGATCCTCTCACCCAAGGTTTTGTTCCACTAAACGGCTGGTTGGGACCTAGTCCCGTGGGCCATTCTCCTCCTTCGTCAACGTTCTCTTCTTCATCAGCCTCTTCTTTCTCAGTCTGTGTGAGACCTAGGAAGTCACTGGGGGATGCAACGCGTTCTCCTCAGCCGATGAGCCTAGACCCAGGCGAAGGGCAGCTCTGAAGAGAGCTGAGGAACCCCTCGACCCTCTATAAAAACGCTGCCTGCCCTCCTGACAGCAGAGCCCTGCCGCTGAAGCGATCGGGGGAAGAGGCCGGGGAAGAGGCCAGCGGCACACAGCCGGGAAGGCCACCCTCTCCCCCGTTCCCCACCGCCCAGGGTTTCCTTCTCCACAGCCCCGGGGGGAGAGCCGCGCCTGGTCAGCGACCCCACCACACGACCACCACCAGCCCTGCACCCCACGGGAGAGGCCGAAGGAACCTGCAGGCGCGCCCGGACTAGGCGGTTTTACCTCAGCCCAGCCGCGGGACCCCCCTCGCCCCACAGGGGAGGGAAAGGCGGGCCCGGCGGGCCCCCCAACCTCGGGCGCCTCCGTCCGTATAAAGGAGGCGGGCAGGGCCGGGGCGGCGGCGGCGGCAGCGGCGGGAGGGAGCGCGCTGAGGGGAAGAGCCGGCGCGCGTGGCGGGGAGGCGGCGCGGAGGGAGGGCAGCCCGGCTGCGGGAAGCGGGGCTCCGCGCTGGGACTGGTTCCTTCGCAGCCATTTTCTGTCCAACCAAACAGCCGATTTGCGGAGGGAGCCAACCAGGGCCGCACTGGAGGTTTGTGCCTGGCTCCGGCCAATGATTGGTAACCGGTTCCACTGCAGGCTCGAATGAAATGTCCGTCTCCCTCCCCGGGCCCCGGCGCTGCCGCCGCGCCGCCGCCGCGGGGACCAGGAAGTGGGGGGCGGCAGCCCCCGGGCCCCGCTTACCGGCCGCTCGTCTCTTTGTGCGACCGGAGACGCGGGGGCCGCGCGGCCGGGGGGAGCGGAGCGGAGCGAGAGAGAGAGCGGGCGGGGAGG